CGCGGCCAAAACCGCGAAAAAATCGAGAAAAGGGAGTTTATTTGAATTATGCCAATATGTATATGTACAAGTGCTTGGCATTTTTATACGGAAACTTTGATATGATTCATAAACACGGAAATTGAATTTTCTATACATAAATTAAAATTATAAACCTGCATGTGCCAGAAAAGATAGTCGCGGTACCTCCAAAACACAGATTCGAGGTTGGACGGCTCGTTGTCTGCTCGTCGTCCGCTCATCGTCCCCTGCTTATTCGCTTGTTGCCCACTTCTTGTCCGCTAGTTGTCCGCTGATTGCCCGCTTGTGTTCCTCTATCTCCCAAGTTATAAATTTCGATAGAAAGATCAGAAAAAACACGAATACCTCGGATGCATGATTACTCTCAGGAATTTGAATTAGTCCATTAAAAAAATCAAATCAAACATCTAAATTTTTGTTGATCAAAATTTCCTGAACTGTCCCATTTTGGTTGATTAAAGATCATTTCTATCTATGTCCCCACCTAAATATTTCAACCACGTGTATAACTTTGAAATTCATACATTCTAATACAAAAAAGTCTCGCTGCACTTTTGAATCTATGCAACCATTGTTTTTCATTCGAAACCATAGAAAGGAGTTCAAAATAAAATCATTACTCTACCACCATGAAAACTGCTCTTCTTTTCTTGACTCTCATCGCTTGCTGCGATGCTCAATTCAGCCCCGATTCTCAAAAACAAATCGCCGATACTCATAACAAGCTGAGATCTTCAATTGCCAAAGGTTTTATGAAATTTAACAATTGTCGTGCAATTATTTTTTAGAAATGGGACTCTTCACACAACTTACACATAAACATGTATAAAGTGATTAATAAACATAGAAGCCAAGTTCCTCCAATCATCCGACAAGTATTTTTTATACTAAAAACTGAAGAATATTTTAATGGTACCCATACAGCACAAAAACGGTTACACGAAATGATAAAATGGAAAACAACGGATAACTGATAACAGTGATAATCCAGAAAACCATGAAAATAGGATAAATCTTTCAAGATTCGAGAATCTCTGAAATTGCAAATTCAAAATTTTCTAATAAATTTTATGTTCACAGAAGAATCATTGGACAACCATAAAATAAATTAGTTGTGTAAACAATCGCATCAGCTAAAGCTTGATTTGCTGATAAATACCCAAAAGAGTGTTTCATTGACTTTAATTTTAGGAAGCTATAAAAAACGGCCAAATTAACTATAAACCCAATGATAACTGTCTGAAATATGTAGTTACTTCCATTGAGAAACGTGTTTCCAACTTGCCGGAAAACCCAAGAAAACCTTTCGGCTGAATTCAAAATCCAAAGAAATCGTTTTAAGTTTTTGAGGTTTTGGATTCGGGAGACAGGTGTGAAACAAGTCTAGACTCAAGCTTTGGAAAAAATATAAATGGAAAACAAATTATAAGATGGGAAACAAAAATTGTTTTCGTTAATTAAACAAGTGTTCGTTGACTTTCGAGAAAAATAACTTCCTGGTGAAACAGAGATTTTGCGCACGTCCGATTCTCCAGTGACTTGAATATTGTTCTGACTTGGCTGGTGTATTTTACGTGCGCAGCCAATTCGAAGAGGAGAGTTCATGCTCACAAAAAGTCATTATGGATTCCGCATAGTCAGGCGGTTTCGATATGATTTATTATTTTTTATCAGTAACACTCTGGAAATCATAAAACACAACATTTTATTATTCAAAATACACAAATTTTATCCCGTTTTGGCCACAGAAGTATTAACTAGGTTTACCATGGATTTATTTTTTGTGCGTCTCAAGAAGGTTCTGATTTCCGGGTTTAACAGAAGCACAATGATTCTGTAACAAAAGAATTGTTTATTTATAATTTTATACAAAACTACCCATCCAAAACATGAACTGCGATAAAAGCATAGCCGCTCAGAAGAAAAATAATAACTTGGTTACTTGTGATTTTGGCAATTGAAAACCAAGTTATCAACTCCACCATGAAAATTGTTCCTTGAGAGATGGTTTGTTTCAAGAATCTTTTCTCTCGTTCCGAAATTGATTCGTTATTTTTGTTTCTGTTACCAGCAGCGAAAAGCCGAACTTTTCGAACTTTAATTACAGTAACAATATCGATTATTATAAAAATACAAACCACGATGCTATTCTTCAAAAAATCTCCATACCATGCCACATTACCACATAGCTCAGTCGCAGTGAACGCAATTGCGCGACGTTTGTCGTCGTATTTGATTTGACACACGTCTGAAATTGCACGAATTTTGAGGATTCTGTATTAGTGAGAAAACAGTAAATTTCTGCCTAACGCCTCATCATACTTTTCAATGGATCGTCATGAAATTTGAGAATTCTGAATAACTCGGTAAATGTGGGCGCTTTTGAAGGGGTGGTGTCATAATTGTGTGGAATATACTAAACACCACTTACACACAAACAAGAATCCATTGCTTGAGCCAAGTAGAATCCAAATGGTACAGATCATCCAGCAAGTATGCTTTACACTAAAAACGGAAGAATACTTCAAGGGCATCCATACAGCACAAAAACGATTACAGGAAATGATGAAATGGGAAACTACGGATAACTCGTAACTGTGTAAACTCAAAAAACCATGAATGTGAGAAAAATCTTTCATGATTCGTGAATCTCTGAAAATTCAAAATAACATTTTCTCAATCACTTTTTTGGTTTACATAAGAATCATTGGACAAGAGTAAAATAAATTAGTTGTACAAAGAATCGCATCAGCTAACGCTTGATTTGCTGATAAGTAGCCAAAAGAATGTTTCATTGACTTCAATTTTAGGAAGCTATAAAAAACGGCCCAATTAACTATAAACCCAATGGTGACTGTCTGGAATAATTATATGCATAGAGAAAAGATAGTCCAACTTACCGGCAAAATCAGAAAAACCGTTCGGCTGAATTCAAAATCCATAGAAATCATTTTGTTTTCGAGCTTTGGGGGTTCCGGAGCCAAGTGTGGAATGAGTCTAGACTCAAGAGTAAAATAACAAGAATATGGAAAACAAGTTCGAGATTTTCACCTTTTCTTAATAAAAATCGGGGGTTGTTGATTAATTTTTTCGTTAATTACATTGTGTTAATTAATTTCTTCATTCACCGAATGATATGCTACTTCTTGGGATTACAATTTAACAAAATATTGGATGATGATATTGTAACAGGGAACGCGGGTAGTTAGTTATTGTTGCAGTTTATCAAAAGAAAATGTTTAAGATCACAGTTTGACAGTCTGTATTTAGAAGCCTCTGACGAAGACTTAACTGTTGCTTAGTAGAAAAAATAATTATTTCAATCTCGTTGTCATTTCTCGCAACTATTTTCAGAAAATCGAAACCGCCTACTTCCTGTTGGCAAAAAAGATTTCATTAGTCGGAAAACGAAATGTGTGATGCTCGGCTAGTTTCACAGCTTCATCATGTGTTCTTCAATGATGACGTCTGTATCCTATGTTTCTTGCAGAATAACAACAACCTGATATCGGGATAGATAACTATCATGCATACCCTGAAAGTATTCTTCGGGTTTTTTTTTTACAAAATACATTTTGTCCCCACCCATCCAACACATGAACTGTGCAATATGCAAACGTGGTTGAAAAGAAGAAAACAGTGGGATCGTTTGTCAATTGTGGTATGAAAAAATAAGACGACAACTCCAATACAAAAATTATGCTTTGGACAATGATCTGCTTTAAAAATCGCTTTTCCCTGTTCGAAATTTTCTCCTGTGCATTACTTCCAATTCCAATGGATGCTCTCGTTTTTCGAACTCCAATTAGGGTTACTACATCGAAGATAACTAATAGGAATAGACTAATCAAGTTTTTCAATAGATCACCATATAAGCCTACATATCCACAAGTTTCAGTTTGGCCAAAAGTTAAAGAATATGATGATGGATCGTAAATTATTTCGCAGAGGTCTGAAATTTTTGTTCTATGACCCATATGGTAAGGAGCGGAAAAAAGTAACCCACATTCATAAAACCAGAAATTTAGGCTTACAAAAATCACCCAAATAATTACAATTATAACAATTGTGTTTCTGGTATTAAAAACTTTTGAATAATCCCTTGGAATCCATACAGCGCAAACTCGATTGATAGATATTGCTAAATGAGTGTACAGGGATAATTCATAACATCTTAGGATAATGATACTCAGGTGGTTTGCGTTTCGTTGAAGAAGAGGCTGATTTCTTAAATGAAGTTCAGTGGAGCGCACTTGCTAGATAGACTTACAGTAATATCATTGGACAGAAAAAGAATAAAAATGCGGTAGAGTGAATTGCATCTGCCAGCGATTGACTTACGGATAGGTAGCCAAAAGAGTGTCGAAAACTTCTTAATCTGAGCAAACTTTGGAAAACAAACCAATTGGTGAAAAATCCCAAAAGAGACATCTGGAAAAATAAATTCTGAAATTTTTTTCCAGTTTTCACTTACCGGAAACAAAGCGAACGCAGTTTGAGAAAAATCGTCCATTTTGAAATGATGGCAAAGAAAAATGAATTTGAAAAGATTTTTGGCACTATTTATCAAAACCAACAATTAATACATTTGGGACTTGTCTGGAACGTAAACCATACAAGGAATTTTCATGAGGTAAACAAAAGTGAAACTTAAACGTCACTAGATGAGCGCAAATTGAGTAGAATCTAGGCTCGAATGAAAAATAACCACATTAGCTTCTTTAAAATTCTCATAGACGCCTATAATTTTGAGCACATGACTCGTAGTTATCACACTGTAATTATAACGTCTAGAGCATACCAAAAGAATCAATTTGGCTCTCTTCTGCTTTTAATCGTTCGAATGCGCGCTCTGTTGCAGGCAGCGTTCCAATTTGGGACAGTTCGACTTCTTACCAGTTCGAACTTGTAACAGTTCGATCCTGTCCGCGTTCTGTTCTGGTACGTGTGCGAAAAAAGGACTGTTCTGAATTGAATCTGTTCGATTTTAGGTCTGTTCGAATTTGAAAACGTTCGAATTCGTCGTACCCCCAAAAAAATGAGTCAAAAATTTTGCGAAAATATTTATTGTTGGGTTACGGTAGCACTCTTTTGCCGGCTGTGTTTTCGAAAATTCTCCTTGAAATACGGTGGCCTAACTTGTGTGAAAATTCGGCCACAACTCAAATTTTTTTTGTACAAGAATAATACGACTGGATGGCATTTCGATAGCTCTTCACAATGATAAGTGTTAGAAGTGGATCGATTGATGAAAATAAGGCGATTGTGACGGTTACTATTCCAGATAGTGGTCTTACATCAACCTCGAGAAAAGTTAAGATGAACATTGCAAATGCGGGAATGTGCATTAGGAATACTGGAATCAGAGTTTGGGTGACCAGGGAGTAGAAGAGTTGGGTTTGAAGAGATTTGTATTGTTGGGAAGAAGCCATGTCTTTGGATTTGCGAAGTGTGGAGTAGCATTTAAAACCAAAGTAGAATGCGGTGGCGATGGAGATGTTCTGAACTTGGTCTTGAATGTCTTCTTCCGGAATGTTTTTTCTAATACACGCTCTCCCACAAAACAATTCCGAACTGCAAATTAATTTTTGATCTACAGAAAAAAAGTTTGGCGCGATCACAATTGCAGGTCTAAAACCAAAATTTCAGAATTTTTTATATGACTTTGTGGAGTTCCAAGATGATTCAAATAATTTTTAAAAAATTAATTAGTGGTTATAGATTCATGTATGGTCGTTTTCCGGAAGAAAAAATGTCAAAAATGGTCATTTTTGAAAGTTTTTTACAGAAAAAATCTATCTCCTGTTTCAGTTTTTGACATTCCTAGGAGTTCTATAGCTCAAAAAAACCGCAGTTATTTTCTCTACATTTTCTATGGATGAATTTTTAATTTGTCTGATAAAACTTTTTTATAATCAAAAAACAACGCAAAAATGCTATTTTGTGCAATTTCATGAGGTTTTTGAGTTATAAAAACAGTTTTATCAGACAAATTAAAAATTCATCCATAGAAAATGTAGAGAAAATAACTGCGGTTTTTTTGAGCTATAGAACTCCTAGGAATGTCAAAAACTGAAAGAGGAGATAGATTTTTTCTGTAAAAAACTTTCAAAAATGACAATTTTTGACATTTTTTCGAAAACGACCATACATGAATCTATAACCACTAATTAATTTTTTAAGAATTTTATGAATCATCTTGGAACTCCACAAAATCAGATAAAAAATTCTGAAATTTTGGTTTTAGATCTGCAATTGTGATCGCGCCAAACTTTTTTTTCTGTAGATCAAAAATTAATTTGCAGTTCGGAATTGTTCTGTGGGAGAGCGTGTAATAACTTGTTTTGCTTTTTTCCGTTGGAATGCAGGCACTGCCGAGTAGCAACCTCGCAGTTCAATTAAAAGCTTTTGCCTGGAGACTGACGCTAATTACAAACCAAATTAAAAACCAGGAATGATGTGTGATCTGCTGTGTGATCTCTAAAATAACGACTCAGCGGTGCCTGCATTGGAAAAGCACGGGAAAAATTAATTTTCAAAAAAAAAACGTCCCGGAAAAAACACAGTAATTGCTGTTTTTCATTTAGGTAAAACTGATTAGCAACTAAGCTTTCTATCAAACTGTCGCGGCGAGACTAACGCTTATCTTTCACTACAGTAAACCCATTCGCAACCGAGCGTATTTGCGTAACGTTCAGTAAAATCGATGTGCTTTCGTCCGAAAATTCGACCGTGACCACGCGTGGTCAGAGTCAACTTAGGTCCGGTCGCGAAATTTAAAGGCGCATTTAAAGGATCATATTTTTCGCAATTATTTTCTGGCCTATTCGTATCGATTTTTCGATAAATTTCATCGATTATTCGATTTAAAAAACCGAAAATTAGCAAAAAATTACATTAAAACAGCGAAATTGTTTTCTGCTTTTTCAATAAATTTCATCGATTTTTGGACTTTTTCGTACAAAAATCCAAAAAATTGCATAAAAACAAAAAAGGGAAATAGAAAATTCGGAAAAAAAATAGAAATCTAAAAATATTTTAATTTCTTGTCTCGCTTTTCGTTTTCAGTCAATTTCCTTTTTCACAGAAAAAAAATGCTCGTAATTTAATGTTTTTGTGTATTCAGTAAACTATTTTCACAGAGCGACAGCACTTCATTAAACCATTATTATGATTATAGGCTATATTATCTAGGATAAAGAAAAAAATGGATAGGCATGTTGGAATCCAAAAGAAGCAAAATAGGGCAAAGCGATGGGAGAGAAACAAGAAATAATATGACCATGTGATGCAGAGTAGAAGAATGGTCAAGAAGCGAAAGAGCGAGAGAGAACTGATAGGAGAATTATTATTATAAAGCGTTTGATGGGGATAAAAAATAATAGCAAGTTGCTACTAGAAACATGTAAAAATCCGCAATTTTTTTTGGAAAAATGACAAGTGTGTGAAAGAAAAGAAACAGAGAGCATCTAGTAGTCTAAACCGTAATACGAGGGGAATTCATGACGGTGGTGGTTGGTAAAACGTAATGGGATGATTGGGAGAGAGACATAGGATCTCGCTGTGGAATTATCGAACCGGGAGCGTTTAGGGTTCTGGCGAGTGGAGAGACAAAAAATAGGTAAAAAATGGTATTGTTAGAAATAGTATTCCAAAAGTGTAATATTATAGAAAAAAAAGTATAAAAATCATGAACGAGTTTGGCTGCGAGTCGTTGGAGCAGATGACGTGGAGGCTCCAGAAGATGATGCACCGGATGAGGATGAGGCGGCGGCACGTCGTCTGGAAATTAGAAGTTGTGATCTGTGTAGCAGTGTATCTTTTCGGAACGTCTTCGAGAATATTTTCGAAACGAGTGCATTTTAACATAGTGGCCTAATTTTTCCAAGTTGAGTTTTCTAGGTCACCACGTCAGAATGGTCTAGAAATGGCCTAAAATTACCTAGAAAACACACCAGGATCATGTCTGGGGATTTTTAGGCCACGAAATACGGTGGCCTAGAAAATTCCAATTTTAAAAGCTGGCCACCGCCTTTAAATGACTTAGAAAATACACCAGTTGAGTATCCGATGAATTTTAGGCTAAACAAGATGGTGGCCTAGAAAATTCCAATTGCAAAGGTTAGGCCACCATCTTAAAATGACCTAGAAAACACACCAGGGCCATGTTATGCCTTTTCTAGGCGAGAGAAACGCCGAGAAAACTCAATTTTCAATTTTCAAACACCCAGGATTACTGTACTCACTTTGGCGGACGATGAACCGTATCCACTGGCTCATCCTCTTCCATTGGCTCTGGCTCTTCAGACTTCGGCTTGCGTTCCATGCGACGCCGTTTTGTAGACGTCGATGGACTGGTAGACCGATTTCCAGACGACGTGGATGGTCCTTCTTCAGCAGAGCTTCTGACGGATCGACGGGTGTTACGACGAGTGTTATCTTGAGGCGCACCACCTCTACGAGGATTCTCATACACCTCCTCTTCCTCCTCGTCAGCATCCTCCTCTTCGACAACTTCTGGAACATCCTGAATGCCTTGTTGCTCGACGAGAACTGGAGCATTTAGCTCTGGCGGCACCACAACGTCATCATTATTTAGAACGATTTCTTCTGGGACCAAAACTGGTAATATTCCATCGACAGCTTGTTGCATCTCCTGAAACTCTCCGAATTCCTCAACGGCTTCCTCGAATTGATCCTGATCATCGACGTCGTCAGCCTCAACAATCAAATCTGCTTCAACTCCATTGATATCGTTGTTCATTAGCTGTGGACCCAAATGGTGACGTGGCAAGACGTCTCCTCCAACAACTTCCTGAAAACGAAGCATGTCTAGTGCTCCAGCAGGCGCGTAGTCTTCTGGAGGCGGAACCATCGCGACATCCGGCTGTTGCTCTTCTCCTTCCTCCTCTTCACCCTCCTCAGGTTGTCCTTCAAATCCCATTTGTGGTTGTCCGAAGCCCATTGGAGGTTCGTTGTTCCAGACAGGCTCATTTGGAGGTGGCAACTCGTCAATTCCTACTGGTTGCTCCTGAATCGGCGGCTGCTGGAGCTGCTGTGGAGGAGGCTGTAGGGGAGCCTGAAGTTGGATCTGATGCACGATTGGCTGCTGCATCTGCGGCTGCTGCTGGAATACTTGCTGCAGGTTTTGCTGCAAGTTCTGTGGCATCGGTTGCATTTGTTGCGGCTGCTGCTGCTGCTGTTGTTGCGGTTGCTGTGGCATAATCTGCATGTACTGCTGCATCGGACGGGGTCCCGGTGGATGTCCCTGGAACTGCGGCTGTGGCGGTGGAGGTGGTGGCATCCGCATCACTTGACCGTTCTGCATCATCTGCTGATGGCGCATGTGCATTTGTTGCTGTTGGAAGTTGGGCATTTGCGGCGGCATCGGCACGTTCTGATTGTGTTGATGGGCCATGTTGTGCAGGTTCTGAGCATTCAGACGCATCGGTTGTGGCATCGGACCTTGTCGTAAATTATTGCCCACCTGTAGAATTTCGAGCAGGTCGAAGTTTCCCATTGGAGGCGGTGGGGGCTGCGGTGGTCCTTGCTGCTGTTGCATCATCCTCGGCGGCCCCCGCATCGGTCCGGGCATCATATTTATGTGTGGACCCATGGCGTGACCCATCTGCGGTGCCGGTTGCCATACGGGAAAGTTGATTTGCGGGGGCGGAGGACCATTATGACCATTGTTACCATTATTTCCACGTGGTGCCTGTTGTTGAGGATGTTGCTGTGGCGGTGGCGGTGGAGGTAGCTGCTGTTGCTGTTGCTGTGGAGGTTGATGCTGCATGGGTGGTGCTGGGAACAAGTTCCGATTACGGAGCCGCATCCTCTCCACTTGCAGATTATGCTGCCCAACAGGTCGCCGAAGAGCACGCATCGCTGCCGCTGGGATATCATTCAGCTGATCCATAAGTTGATTGTTTTGAGGCGCTGGTGGAGGTGCAACTGGAGCTGGGGTCGGTGCCGGTGGCGCCGGGGCCACTATCCCATCCTCCATCTCAAAGTTGAGATCTTGCCTCAACTGATCAAACGGTTGCCAATAGGTCACCACGGCAGCTTCGATGGAATTCAACATATCCTTTACGCGGTCCTGCGACCTTTCGTAGAGATTCGCGACTTGCTCAGCCTTCTGCACATCCATCATCAACTCGTCCACTGTCGAAGTCTCTTTGATTTTCGAGTCGAAGGAGGTGTTCATGAATTCGAAGACTTTGATGAATCCGGACAGCTTCTGTAATGTCAGCTTTTTTGAAATAATTTTAACTCTGTGTTTTGAAAACTTACATCTATCACCTTGGTTTCTAGTGCACCTCCAACTGGAGACATAGCGTTCTTGATGCCCTCCAATGCTTGAAACGCGCGAGCCGATACATCGTTGATCTTCTGCTTCATCTGCCGAACGTCATCTGAAGTCAACGCCTTCTTTTCCACCAGCTTGTGTCCGTTGTGCGTTCGAATCGCGCATGTCGAACATATCTTGCTGTTCTTCTCTTGACAGTCCGAACAATCAAAGTAGACACCGCCGGCAAGCACCTCTTCACACTGGTTACAGTACTTTACCAAATGCCGATCTTTGAACAATGGCGCCACTTTCCCCACAATCTCTTGGACCCGATAGTTAATTGGAAGACCATCGGCAGGTACGATAGTCGGTTTTCGACACTCTGGACACTTGATCTCAGTGGAGCCATTGGGGTTTGCATCGCGTCGTCGTCCTGGTGGCGCGCCTGGGAATCCGATGAAGGCACGCAGCATTGGGTCACGCTGTTCCATAGCTGGCACTTCTAACCATTGCTGATCGTCGAATGCGTCGGGTCCGCCGCCGAGGCCGATTACTCCATCTTCGAAATTCATTTGCATTCGTGCGATATGCGGGAACCGCAGCTCTTCTATTTGATTGTTTTTGGCTTGTTCGACCTGGAAGAGTTTTTTTTGATAATGGGAATTTTCATTAGCTTCATAATGCGGTTCTGTGATCCGCTGAGGCCGCGACCGTCCAAAATTCTGAAGTTTTCTAGCCCATTTGCTTGTCCACGTGGACTCCACGGCCAGCCTAAGCAGGAGCAATTCCATACGCCTTTGCTCGTGAATCGCTTCTGGACCTTGCAGTTTCAAAGGCGCATGGAATTTCCTGCTTGGGGTCTCGCTTGGCTGGCATTGATGTCTACGTGAACAAGCACCTGGCCTAAAAAACTCCGGCATATTTGGCGACCTGAATGAACGCAAAATCCAAAAAGACTTACCAATTTGCCAACACACGTTGAACATAAAGTATGCCCACATCCCATCTGCATTGGCTTATCATAGATTGTGTAGCAGATCGGACACTCGATGACTTGTGACCATTGTTGCTGAAAAATATCTTTTTAAAATTTTTATTTTATTTTTGAAAGCTTACATAGTTTGCATCTCCGCTGCTCGTACTTGGGATATCCATTGCCATCGATTTGCGAAATTCCGGTCGATTAAAGTGTGTGTCCGAAAAATCGATGTATAGCCCGTGTCAGACAAACCAAATTACCCTGTGAAAACGAAAATTTAATGGGACATTTTTTTGAAATCAAAGAAGAAGAATAAGAAAACGAACGAAGCGAACACAAGGAGAGTGTGCAGTTGCAACGATTCGGAAGCGGAAAACGGGAGAGAGGGAGAAAGCGAAAGTTAGAGACGCAGACAAAACAAGCACTTCTGCAAAGCTTTAGAGAAAAGAAGAAGAGATGGAGAGAGAGAGCGAGATGGCGTGTTTATGATTGAAGGGAAAATTGCTGTCTAAATCAATAAAGTCTGGGGAGGGGGGACGTTGTTTCGTTTACTTTCACTGAGTAACCGCTGAATTGTATATTTTGTTGAGAAGAATAAGAAAAATAGGCGGAAAAACTAGTGCGAAAGTGTCTTTAAAGACAGAAATTAAGCAAAAATTGGTAAAAATTGGCGAAAAATCTATTTCAAAACATTCGTTTCGAAGTCCGTTTAACAATTTTCAGGTATGCTCATTTAAAAAAGTACGGTAGACATTCCAAAGAAATTTGTTTCGACACACAATTGGAATTTTTGAGATATGTTCCTTTAAAAAAGTACTGTAGATTTTTGAAAAAATTTGAAATTTTTAAAAAGTTTCGGTTTTTTCTCGAAAAAAGAGTGAATTTTGAAGAATTCAAAGAAAAATTTAAATTAAAGAAATAGAAAGTCTACAAACAACATTTTGAAACGAAAAAAGCGAGAAAATGCCGACTAAAATAAATGAAAATGGGTGGAAAAATAAAAAAGAAGAAGACGAAGACGAGCCTTCTCTCGAAAAGGGTCATATATTCATCAAATTGTGCGTGCATGAATCGTTGCCACCAGTCACCACCATCGGTTTTCTTTCCTTTCTTATTCATATCTTCCGCCCGCGCGAGCGCTCTCGATTGTTTCAGGAGAGGAAACGACGACGAAGAGAGCATAATAGAATAATGAGAGTCTTCCATAGATGGAAATAGATGAATCGAACGGGGAAAATGGTTGTGGCGTGGTGAGGGGAGAACCTTCCTTCTCAGTGTCTCTGTGTGCACCGATGGATAATCTCACCACTTCTCTATTGGTTTACACCGAGAAAGAGAGTGAGAGTGAGACCTTCCCCTCCTCCCACCACCACCGGAGAGACACCCGGTCATGATTATTTTTCGGGGGGTACACTTCACCCCTGCGCACAGATCGTTGAGGATTAAAGAGGGGACCACTGATGGTGGTGTATGACAGCTGCTGACCAGAAAAATAGACAAAGGTGTTCGTAATTGCGACAAGTACAACAGCAGAGGAGAAGGAGAAGAAGACGTGAGAGCGTGTGCCGAATTAGAATTTCTGAGAAGTGAAGAAGAAGAAGAAGAAGAGAATGCAAATTGAAGTGCATGGAAAGAGCGAGAAGCAATTAACTTGTGTGCTTTGATTCCCAACTTTCCCAAACACGGGCACTGGCATGCCGCGCGGTACGACTTCGTGCCATGTTTTTTGTTTTTGCCATATATATGTCAAGCTGTGTAAGCTCCGCCCCTTTTCTAACCCAAATATCGATGGGAACTCAGAAAACAAAAGGAGCGGATTGAAAAGACGCGACAATATGTGTCTGGAGACTAGTTGGGCAAACAGCGGATGGCTGTGTTGGAATACAAAAATTTCCATCTCACTGAATTCTAATACCCCCTCTGGGGGTCTTCTTTATCCCTTCCATTCATCTCGGGTCGTCTTTACGTCTAAACATTTTAACTCTATAGAACTATCAAAATGAGATACATCAGTCTGGAATGCATCTAGATATATCTAATCGGATGAGAGGGGGCCAGCATTTACAGTAATCTAATTATATCGTCACGCAAGAACCTTCGAGAAAAGGAGAAAGGAAAAAAAAGAAAGGAAATGTATGCGTCAGAATCAATAAACTTTTCGGGGGGAAAATGACGAAGAGTGTTGAAAAAAAAACTGAACATACAACATAAAGACCCTACTTTGTATTTTGTTCAAGTGTGACCTGACACTAAACACCTGAAAGATGATGAAACGGGACTTTGATTTTAGGGAATATTGTGTTTTGGCGCACCTTATATGGCTGCTACAATTTGATAAAATGTTTGAGTTCAATTTCATAGTTCACTAAAAAGCACGATTTCCGGAATTCAAGGTCATTTTGTTCATATAAGCAGCCAGTCTGGAAGGTGCGCCGACGCTACCGACTGAGCTACGCCAGCGAATAGAGCCGTCAACTTTGAGCTTATATATCTCGGTTCAAGGGAATGATATCGAAAAGTTGTCAATTGACAAAATGTTTCTCATAATATAAGCTACATTTTATCAGTTGACAGTTTTTTGATGTCTTTTAAATGGACCGAGATATATGAGCTCAAAGTTTGATGTCCTACTGTTAACGGTAGCTTACACTAGTTCGTACTGTAGTTCAAATTAGTGGAATCTTATCAAAAATTTGTTGACTGCGAAACTGTTGGAAAGTGTAAAATCAGGTCATAGTGCCAGTTTAAAAGTGACCGACTAAAAAATTCGAGTCGCTAGATAGCAATCTTACTTCTTCCTCTTCTTCTTTTTTTCAAAGTAATGACACATGAGAAAGGACACATTTCTTCTTCTAATCTCTCGCTTTTCACTTTCAATTCTCTCTCGACACACACATCAAAATCGGGGTTAGGAACGAGAGAACACAACAATTGATAATTATCAAGCAGAAAAAAAATATTTCGTTGACACACAACACACTCGTCATAGTCACAACAATTATAGGAAGCAAATTTCTAGGCCATGGCCAGAAGCTTTTGGTCCACAACTTGGCAATAGGGGAGAAATGGAAACCAGTGACCATAGAATGGAGAAAACTGAAACAAACAAGCATGCGAAGGGTTACACAGATGCGAAAAATTGAGGCAACACTTTGAGCCAATGTATCTCAATTTCTATAAGAGATATCAAAAATCTTTCAACTGATAAAATCTTTATCAAATTATCACAAACATTTTATTAGTTGACAAAATTTTGATATCTTCTCTAGGAAGCGAGATAAATGAGCTCAAAGTGCACGAAGGGTCACAATGGGGGCAAAGGTTTCAAGAAACCATAAAAAAAACGCCTTGTCGACGTCAGAAGAGCCAAAGAACACATTGAGAAACCCCTTGATAAGAACAGGGAAGTCATAATTCATGGAGGTGTAAAAAAAAGGGAAAGTGCTCAAAATAGGGAGCAACGGATATGATGACGTTGCGAAAATTCAAAAAAGGGTTCATGAGAACTCCTGACGTCTGATGTAAACTATTGGTCATGTGCACCAAAAGTGAATCTATTTTGAAATTGTTCTTGCTTTTAAACAAATTTTTTTCGAATCGCTCACTGTAAACAACTGACTATGAGGAAATATTAGTTGACATGACACTCTAATTTCTATGAGGAGCTTGCCTTCAAGTACACAATCATTGAGGAGCAACTGGAACAAACAATTTCAGAGACTACTGTAGTCCACGTCTTCAAGAATAATAGCGTTTAAGTACAATTTTTACACGCTCCATATCTCCTAACAACATAGAACACAATATATGCTCAACAGATGATTCTTGTTCTTCTTCTGAAGCGACGTACTTTAACGAATTCCGACATAGAGACGAATTGTAACGAAAACGAGATACGGAGAAAAAAAACTGTAATGTCCAGTCGACAGACAGGGGACAAAATGAATAAGAGGAATTCTGTCTCTGTTTGGTGGGGGGAGTAGATAAGAGGTGGAGGATGGTGGTTGGAAACCAACCCGAACCGATTCGATGAATGATAAGACAACAAAAAAAGAAGAAGAAGGCTGCGTCGTCCAGTGTGTGTGTGTGTGTGTGATATCGGGAATTGGAAAAGAACAAGAAGATGATGAGGAAGAGAATTTATGACCACTAGAAGGGGTCTTGAAGAGGACCAAGGAGGACAATTACACAGACACAGTAATGGGGCGCTGGTAAACATAGAAACTGGAAATATGGGGAGGGGGGGGGAGTGTTGGGGTGAGAGGGGTGACTGGAAAAGAAATGGGGACAAAACACAAATCGAATTAAATTTTTGAAAAGGTGGGTGGATGGGATTTATGGGTTTTTGACTGGAACGGGGATCAAACATTGGATGTGGAGAATTTTCTTTTTTAGTTTTGGAAGGTTCAGACTGATAAGGATTTTGACCATTTCGGCTCACAAGTTTCCGATCACTGAACATTTTAGAGGATGTAAATCAGATCTAGATTGGAATCTTTGCTCTCAGGGATTCAGGTTCCATAGAGATGAATCTATAAGAATCTGGGATTCATAATGTACCAGCGAACCTCGATACCAAGGAGCCCGAGGATCGCAAAATCCTATCCCAGGATTTCAAGAATAATAAATTTGATAGCGATCAGACTCTAAAAAACAAAAAAAAAATGCTGAAGATTCCAGGATTAGGATCTTAAAATAACGAATCTAGCCTACCCAAACAGTCAACTATGAGCTCAATCATCTCGGTCCCTATGATAGATATCAAAAATATGCCAACTTATCTGTTTATCATAATATCACCTATATTTTATCAGTTGACAAATGCTTGATATCTCTCACAGGAAACGAAATAATTGAGCTACGCGGTTGCACCATACTGACCGACCGTACAACACCATCCAAGCACTTTTCCTTTGAGCTCAATTATCTCGGTTCGTATGAGAGATATCGAACAGTTGTAAACGGGTAAAATGTTCATCATGATATCACCAATATTTTATCAGTTGACAAATTTTTAATATCTTCCAAAAGAACCGAGATAATTGAGCTCAAAATGAGTGATGTGATTCTCAAAAAAAAAGTTATAGGTGTCCCGACAAGGCGTGGAAGTCTTCCATACATTTTGACAGCGAAAAGGCAATAAGTTTTGGGTAAAAATTGAAAAGAATAGGAAAAG